AATTGCATGCTTAAGATTTACGCATGTAAATGCCTGTATGTTACATTTCAATAATAAAGTTTTAATAATCAATTACATACTTACAGTTAGAGTAGACTGTATGTTATTCATTAAAATTCTGTCCTGAAATATAGATGCCCTAAATATTAGTGAACATAGAACACTTTGAAATACTAAATATTATATATATGTATATATATAGTATACTTTATATACATATGTGTGTGTGTATAGGAGGTCCATAAAGTTCATGTGCAATTTAAAATAGTTGTCTTCTTTAAATTGCACGTGAACTTTATGGATATGCTGTCTATATTTTCATTTATCTTCAAACCATGAGTCAGAGACACATGGCTGCTTTGATAAGAATGAAAACTGAGTCCTGTGGGAAGTGAAATGAATACTATTTCAACTGCGAGAAGACAGTTACTATACATTGCCAAAAATATTACTGATTGTTTGTATCATGTAGCCAATTATTTCAATTTTAAAAAGATAGATTGCATTCCATCAAAATATAAAAACCTTTCATGTTCATCAGAATATCACAACTTCTGTGCTGCAAGTTAAACCATCAGGAGAGTAAAAACGCAATCCACAGTATGTGTGATCTACAAATGGTAAATTTAACAAGAGACTGGTGCCTAAAATATATAAAGAATGTTTACAACTCAATCATTGACAAGACAACCCAATTTAAAAGTGGGCAATGAATCTGACCAGATATTTCTTCAAAGAAGGTTTGCAAATGTCCAATAAATACATGAGAATACGTCCCACATCATTAGCCATTAGGGAAATGCAAATTTCCTAAAAAACCCCACCAAATACCACGTTAGAGGCCAATTTTTAAAAAGATGACAATTAGCAAGTGTGTGTAGAAAATGAAACCTTCATACATGGCTGGTGGGAATGGAAAGACTGCAGCCATGCTGGAAATTCTTTGAAATGCTAACATAGTTACTATCTCACTCAACAACCCCACTAGTTGGCATTCGCCCAGGAGAAATGAAAACATATATTCACACAAAGACTTGTATGTAAAGTCTTCATAGCAGCGTCATTCATAGTAGCCCCAAATTGAAAACAATCTAGATGCCCATCAACGGATAAATGGCTAATAAAATGTGCTATGTCCAGTGAGCTAATATGTGGCAAAAAAAGAGATGAAACATTGACATGTGCTATAACAGGGATGAACCCAGAGAACATGCTGAGTGAAAGGAGCCACTCACAAAGGACAAACACTGTATAACACCATTTATATCAAATGTCCAGAATCAGCAAATCCACAGAGACAGAAAGCGTATTGGTGGTTCCCAGGAATTGACAGGCTGGAGGCTGGTGAGGGAATGGAGAGTCACTGCTAACGGGGATGAGAGTTTGTTTTAGGGGGAGATGGAAATGTTCTAAAATTATATTATGGAGATAGTTGTACAACCTTGTGAATATAGTTTTAAAAATTGCACTGTGTTCTTTAAATGGTTACATTTTATACTATGTGAATTACATCTCAATAAGCCTATTTCCAAAAAAGAAAGAAGGAAAGAAAAATAACAGTTACTTTTTAAAATTGTACAATATTTTTATTAAATCCTATAAGGTTTATAAAATAGCAAATATAAAGGCTTTAGTTCATTTATGATAGTAGTAATATTTATCCCTCATTGAAATCTTTCTACATGCCTCTTACTCTTTTAGGTGCTTTTGTTTATTAACTCAATACACAAAGTGACAATGTGAGATGTCATTAAGCAGCTTTATGTAAATTCCCTGTTTTAAAACATTGCACTAAATTGATTCCACCCTGCAATACAACAGTTCTATTTTTACAATTCCCCAGTGGAGCATGGATTTATCAATAATGCAGTGATAGAACAGCCATGGTGTACCCACTTCTGTAAGTGCGTGGATAGAGAAACATGGAATCCAGCTCCTGCCTATGCACACAAGCAGAAAATAATAGCATGGAAAAATATGACATTGCCAAAAGAAGGTATCCATTTTGTATAAATGTATCAGTCAGAGTCCCTTTGGCTGAGAGTAACTGAATATCCAAGCCACTGTGATATAAACAGTCTTTTATAGCAAGGAAAATAGGTAGGTGTTCTAATGATTGGTCAACGGCATTGAGACTCAGGTGCTGTCTTATCTTTTTGCTTGGCCAGGATAATTGCGTCTGGCTTGTCCCTATTCTTTGCACAATAAAAACAGCATCTTTAAATTTTACAAATTTACACTTTTGCACTTACAAAGCTATTTTCTCTTTCTTGCAGCTCTTTTTATCACAGAAGACAATCCCTGCCAACCCTTCTCACCCCCAAGTAGACGCATGTGGTTGCATGACATTTCCACACCAAATCAGTCCCTGGTCGCAGGGAGAGATCATGATGACTGGTTTTGACTGTTCAACATTTACCTCTTAAGAATGCCAGTTTGACAGCATGTCAGAGGGTGGATGCCCCCAGTAAATTGGAGGCTACGGGCTTGGAAAGAAGAAAGGGGTGGAAGGCTGGTTGCTGGTTAGGCAACCACAAGTGTCTGCCACAAGAAAGTAGTAATGCTAAAAACAACCATGGCTTTACAAGTAATAGCTTCAGCCACAAACCAAAGTGCCGTTTCTACATGAATTTTGTGTGGAGAAGACATTTTCTTATGTCTACACACAGATTTCTCAACAACAAATAAAAACATGAACAGTGTCATCTTTGAGTAGTCAAGAATATTGTGTTTGAATTTACTCTTCAAAATGCCATTTCCAATATATATACTGAATTAGGCATAATAAGATAAATCGCTGAAATGCTAATGTTTATAGGGTGAATGTTTAAATCATGCTTTTATAAAATAATAAATATGACCTGCACTATCCAAATTGGAACCCAACAGAAATGCTAAGTCAAAGATACATATTTTTTCCTTGCCTAGAAAAAGACTGGAAATTAAAACCTTTAAAACAAGTTGTTTTTTTTTTTTTCATGTAAGCCATTAGGTAGTGTATTCATACATTGTGTAGAAAGGTGTATAATGGAAACAAAAATTACCAATGCATGTGAATTTATTTCCTTATCATTTCCCAATTTAAATTGTCTTTGAAATGTTCTAATTAACTGTATTACTGTTAACGTTTTTTTATTTTATACTCCCCATGCTCTTGAATATTCTTGTAGTCTAGAAGCATGTTCTCCATCTGCTGTCACCAAGGATGGTTCTTTTACCACCAACTTTAGAGGTCTTCTATTAGTTTCTAGGAAGAAAAGTCTGTTTTTCTGAACACTGTGCATAAAAATTATGAATAACTACTTGGAAACTACAAACTTAAGAATCTCTTTGCCCTTAAGCTGCTATTATATATAAAATTGCAAAACTACACTTCTATGAAAGGCTATGTGAACCCACATTTTTCAACTGTGCACCCTTCTGATACGTAGTATTTTCTTTTTCTTCTTTGTGAGAGGAAGCGAGGTGTCAAATTTATCTGAGGCTTAGATCCGAGTTTTTAGATTTGATAAATACAGCGTAGTCGGATGGCAGAAAGAGACAGGAGGAGTTTGGGATGATTTGAGTTACTGTGCAGAATGCTTCATTTCGTTTGACAATATGCTAGGTACTCTAGCTTTTCTTTTAAAATAAAGAAAATTGAGATTATCACTCCCTACAGGAGGGAAGCAAAGGTAAGCAGATTATATAAATCTTTTCCAATAACAAATAATCCCACACTCAGTCGGGTGAGCCTTTATGAATTTAAAATTAGTAATTTTCCCACTCTAGGTTACAATTTGAAGAATAGAAGTGACTCCCCTTTCACTGTCAATTCTAAGGTTGGAGTTCGAATTCCTGCTAAAATAGCACTGGTTAACTAAAGCGTAGCCTGTATATCATCTCCGTAAATGTATACAATCTTTAGGGAAAAAAAAAATCCTGCGGTAACCTTGACAAGACAATGCCTCATTTTTTATGTGAAGTGAGGCTCTCAACTGTCAAGCAATCCTGAGCTCACCCCCAAACTCTGCCAACCCCATTCTCCATCTGATCCTCACTAAGGTTCAATGATCCCCCCAAAGAAAAATTTCTCCATTCTAGACACCCATAGGTGCTGGAAACAGATGCGGAGCCCTGGGGAAAATAAAAGGAAACGCGTTCCTCTCCCCATCCCGGGCCCCAGCTCCACTTCTGCGTCTCCCAGACTGAAGCTGTTAACCGCACCCCCTACCCGCGCCGTGCTCTCCTCTGCTCTGAGACGTGCTAAGGCTGCATTTTAGCTTCTCTGCGGAAAGGCACGTGGAAGCGGATCTCTGGAAGCAGGGGAGCCGTGCGGGGCGGGAGGCCTGGGGGGACCCTCCTTGCACACACCTCCCGCGGGCTCTAGAAGACCTTCCCGGCTCAGGTCGCTGACGGCGAAAGCACGCCCACCGAGGCCGGGCGCCGGGCGCTGCGCGGGGCGGAGCGGGGCGGGCTGCGCCCTGCGGCTCGGGAGGGCCGGGGGCCAGCGCGGGAGGGAGGTGGCGGCGGCGGGGGCGGCGGGGGGCGAGGAGGGGCGCCCGCATCACGTGCGCGCGCTGGGGCCGCAATAAATGCCCGCGAGCGCCGGGGAGCGGCGGAAGCGCCCGGCGCCGGGGTCTTCGCGAGCGTCGCCACCGAGCGGGAGCGCGAGCCCGTCGCCAGCCGTCGCCGCCGAGCCCCGCTCGCGTCTCCGCCCCCCGCTCTGCAGAGAATGCCCGGCGAGGCTCGGCCGCCCACCCCGGCAAGCTAAGGAGGCAGCTCCGAGGCTTCTGGCCCCGAGTGCGCGGTCTCACGTGGGAGCGCTCTGCCTGCCACTCCTTCCAGGGTGCAGGAGCGCGGAGGTCGGGGTTCGCGTCCTCCTCCGTCTGCGCCCTCGCAGCCTCCGGACGCGCAGTGGCCGGGTCCCTCCCGCGCGGGGCGCTCGGCGTGCGGCAGGGCGAGGACTCGGGCGCCGCGGAGGCCGCCGTCCCGCCGCTCCGCTCCCCCCGGAGCTTCACACTGGAGAGGTAAGGGCGATTCTCAAACGCACCGCTGGGGTCACCTTGCCAACTTGTTCTATTTCATTTTTGTTTCTTTTAAAATCCTACAAAACGAACTACACAAAGAACTCCTCCCCCCAAGTTTTAGAGATGGTCAGGCAGAGGGGGTCGGCGTTTCAGATTAATGGAATGTTCTTGTAGGTGACTTTGTGGGTTCACCTCCCTGTCTCGCGCTCTCCTTTTCGGTGAAGAGTGTGCTTCCGAAGGATGTGGGAGGAACACTTTGAGGTCACCGAGTGGCTGCTGGCCCTCGTGAGTGCAGGCCGCACGTTAGGCACAAACTTTCCAGGGAATAATGATTGAGTTCTGGACTTGCCTCGGGATAAGAGGAGACTTCTCCCAGTGACCCGAACCGTTCATTCTCAGTAGTTCATGGCCCCCCTGGATGCACCCATGGATACTTGCATGAATGGCCTTTTATTAAGACATTCACCCTCGATTTCAGAATACTGTGGACTCTGTGAATGTCTGTGCACCAGAGATGGAACACTGAAATAAAATATATCTAAAATGAAAAATAATACTTTAAAACTCCCTATAGAGAAACATGGACCTCCAGATTAAATAAAATGCACTAGGACCTATATACTAGGACCTACGTATATAATATGTAACATATAGCCACTTAAATCTTGTAATTCAGAGATTAGTTTGACTGTTTCCAAGTTTTCACTCTTCAGGGTACTTTTGCCATTTGTTTTTGGTCTCATGAATATTACCTGGAAATACACTTGCCAATATTGTGAAAACCTGTATTATGAATATACTTGCCTATATTGTGGAAACCTGTATTATGAAAAGTTCACGTATTATGAAAAAAAATGTTGGAGACAAGTTACTCAAAAAAGCGAGTGTCTCATTTTTTGGTGTTATGTAGATAAATCAAAACTGGCATACCCTTGTCACGTTGTTGTGCTTTTATTAATACCTTGTTGGTATCTTCATCTTAATCACATAACGTGTCTTTATAGCCAAAAGGAGTGGAAGAGCCTGTCTTGGAGATTTTCCCGGGGAAATCCTGAGGTGGTTCATTATGAAGTGCACCGCGGGGGAGTGGCTCCGAGTAACCACGGTGCTATTCATGGCTAGAGCAATTCCAGCCCTGGTGGTTCCTAATGCCACTTTATTGGAGAAACTTTTGGAAAAGTACATGGATGAGGATGGTGAGTGGTGGACGGCCAAGCAAAGAGGGAAAAGGGCCATCACAGACAATGACATGCAGAGTATCTTGGACCTTCATAATAAATTACGAAGTCAGGTGTATCCAACAGCTTCTAATATGGAGTATATGGTAAGGAAATTTTTCAAGTGGTATGTACAAAAGAAATATTTATTCATGTTTTCAGTTGTCACAGTTAAATTTTCTCATGCTGCTCCTTAATCTCTGTTTGTCCAGTATGGAATTAAAAAAAATAGATTTTCTTTGAAAGTGTCTTCTGCATATTCTTAGATTAGCAATCTTCTTGTTTCAGAGTAGAATTAAACATCTTCAGATGTAATATTCCTACTAGATACTCTAAATTGTACTCTTACCTAGAAGGTTACTATACTGAAAATACTGATTAGTTTGTGTATTTGCTTTTAAGTGACCTAGTAGACAAATTGCTTCCTAATTTCCAACTGATAGAATCTTTTTAGGAATAGCCGGTCTGGAAAATTCAGAGTTTAATAATTTCAAGAACTTTTTGGAGTGCCTGTATGTCTCTGTTTATATACACATACATACAGTATATATCGTTTCTGTTGGGCCTTGTTTTCTTACAAATATGTAAATGATATGCAACATATGGTTGCTATATGTTAAACAATACTTTGGAAATGGCATTTTTCCCCTGGATTTATTATTTGAAGTATGAAAATAAGCCGAGGTAAATGTTTAAATAAAACTATGCGCCTATCCTTAATAATCTTATATTTACTCTTAAATTAGCAAGTTTAAGAAACAAAATTACTTAAGGGAATCAACATATAACTCAATATACTTACTATTTCATACCCTGAGTATTTAGAAAACATAAAAAAACCTATTATATGTATTTCTTCCATGAATTAGGAATGCACTAATGAAGGCTGATAATAGTTATTGGTGATGGCAAAGTTTATTTAATGAATACTGGCAATGATATTTCTCCTTTGGGTGCATTGGAGGTTAATTTTAATGCATGCTGGTTTTTCTTCTTTCCTGCTTTTGCATTAGTTTTGATGGCTATTCTTCATTTAGGTAACTCTCACAAAACATGGAAGATCTAGGTTTCCATTACATATTACAAGATATGCTGTTGTATTAACTTTTACCAGAAAAAAAAAAAAAGTCACTCTAAAAATAGTAAGTAGCACTGAAAAGAACTCATCAGAGATTAAGAGTTGGAACCCAGAAATTAGCTGTATCGATGTAATCTGTAGCACTGACATCCATCAGCTGTGTGACTTTTAGCAGTTACTCATTTTTTTTCACATCAGTGTCCTGGTGTCCAGCATGTATATTCCCCCCAAGGGGTGGTTGTGAAGACTAAACAAGATAACCTGGGCAAAGTTTAGTTCATTATCAGTAAATGATAGTTCAGTCTCAGTAAATGATACTAGGACACATACTACTAACTTCATGTCTCCTACTATTTAAATATGATGTCTAAGGAAATTGTTAGTCTCTAGAGTCTATGCAGAATATGACATCTGTGATACCTCATATTCCTTCTTGTGTCTTCTATGAAGTGTTTGTCCAAAGTGAAAAGTTCTATGACTTCTTCATCTGTGAGCCTTCAAACAGAAAAGCCCATTATGGAATCGTTCCAAACAGGCCAGCCAGTGTCTGCTTATTCCATGTGGATAGGTATTCAGTTGCATTTTATTTAAAATAAGAAAGAACTTGGAAGTTCAAACCCACAAAAAGAAATCTGAGAATCTTGGTGTGTGTTTTAAGTAACATGGAAATCATGAAAGAACAGTTCTGTGATTTGTTTTTATGTCTCCCTTCCAGAAAGAAATTGCTTATTGTATGATGTCTGGTCTGGGATGTTTATATGGGTTTCATTTTAGTTTCACTGGTTTCATTCTACCCTTGAAATGTCGATTCAGAAAGCAGCCAGGGTTTATATTGTGTTGCCCTTAGATACTGTTAGCACTGGAACGGTGTCTAAGCCATTAACTAGGCTCCAGAGGAGTGCATTGCCCATGTGTGTGCACCGGGGGAACACATTTTCTAGAATGCACGTTTAAGGGGAAGTCTAAAATAACAATACTATTTTATTGAAATACTCTGGATTTAAGTATTTAATAGCAGTGTAAGTATAGATGTAGATCATGCTTATATAAATACAGTTTATTCCAAGTCACTTAAAATGTATTTATTCTGAGAAAACAAAGTTAAAAAGTGGCTAAAGAGCTAATTCCTATAAAATCTGCAGTGTCCTAAGATAAGTGTCACCACTGTTGGTCCCTTGTACCCTGTATGTCATTTCATGTTAGAGACTTGAATAGAGTCTTAGTTACATGTGGTCATGTTAGAGTCTTACTTACACTTGGTGTGTATTTTACTCTATTCTTTGTCCTTGAACCTACAGTACTCAAGTTATATCCACACTTAGTAACATTACATCCCCGCCTGTACTTTTTCCCTCATTTAACTTGTAGTGTTAAAAATTGAAAATGAAAAAGCCCTATTTTTCCTTGAAGAGCTTATAGGTTGAGAAGAATAGACACATTTGAAAACCTTCTAGTAAGCAAGGGCCCAAACCTGTTTGTTTATGTGTATGGTTAAAGCGAAGGGAGCACAGAACAATGGGACCTTGCTAATTGTGAGAGGTAATCAATGGGGAAGACAAGGTATATGTTGTTTCTTGGAAGTGGGCAGGGACTTGAATGGATTGAAAGAGGGGAAGGTAGATCTCATTTAGAGGAAGAGGAACTGAAAAACACAGGGGGGCAGGAATTTCCAGGCTGGTTGTAGTGAAGGGGAAGCGGATGAGGTTGATGGAAGCACAGATCGTGTGGCAGAATTAGGAAGCAGGGAAATGAATGGTTGGTGATAGGAACCAGTAATCCTAAGGAAGGGGGTTACCTACATTTAATTTAGGGTAAATTGAGAAAGTGGGTCATCCAGTGAACCTGTTGCTGAAGATGCAATTGATTCTGGAGGAAAAAAAGACTGAGTGTTGTTTTTCCCACTGGTAAAATGAAAGACTATCAGCCTCACAGGTTGTAATGAGATGGACATTGGATGCTGCTGAGTAGGTTCATTTTCTTCAAGTCTTTCCTTCTGTGGGTTTTAAGACTCTGTTATTGATTCGTTCATCTCTTGTCTTTATTTTCTTGCCATCTCTAAAAAGCTTGTTTCCCAGCGTTTCCCTTTTGTCCTTCTCTTTGGCCTTACCTACCCTTGACTTCAAGTACCATCCTGCCTTTGTGACTCCACATTCTATGTCTTTGCCCATCAACACTGTCTTTGAGCTCCATTTTTGTTTCCTACTGCCTTTTGGATCCTATCTATGTGGTATTATTCCAAAGTTATTTAAGCCTAAAATGTCTGAAAAAGAAACCTGAATAAAAAAACCTAAAATCTAACTGCCTCATCCCTTCCCTACACCCTCACCTGTCTGCCTGCCTTCCTTCTTAGGTTCTTTCCAAGTTTATATCACCAACATCTGCTCAGTCCTAAGAATCATACCATCTTCCCTGCCCTAAACTGGACACATTTTCAATTCCCGCCACTCATTTCCATGTAACATATATACAAAAACATAAGTAGACAATTACTTGCCAAGTTGTGTAGTTTCTGTCTCAAATGTCTTTGGAATCCATCACTTTCATTGCATCCTAATATTTGCTTGTTACATCACTCCTATATTGTTACTACACCTTCACACCTGGCCCACCATGACAGTCCCTTCCTACTTTAATTTCTGATTTAGTCCATTCTCTTCACTGTCCCTAAAGCTGACTTTTCCCTCACACAAATCTGTGTTGGTTGCTCAGCTGCACATAAGTTCTTTTGACTCCTGGCTGCTCTCAGGAGGGCTGTGTAAAGCCCACAGCCCATGTGCTGTCATCTGCTCATAGTGCCGGACTTCCTTGTGCGTATTTGAGCATGTGTTTGTGTTGAATTACTCAGTGTTCTCAAAGATGGACATGCTTCTTCACACCTCTGTGTCTCTTTGTTCTATGGCCTTTATGCCTAGAATGCCAGTGCTTCCTGTCACTTCTTAACAAACTATTATACCTAAGACTAGGTACAAAGGTTGTCTTTCCTATAAAGCTTCCTCTGTTACACCCATACCTCTGTAGCGCTTTACTGAAGCCTATTGATAGAATTAAAATTTTGTTGCAGTGAAATACTTACATGTCTGTTTCTGTTTTCCTTTCCAAGACTTTGAATTCCTTCAAGGGCAAGGATCATACCTTATTTATCCTTATAACCCAGAGCCTGGTACATAGAAGAGGTACTCAAGAAATGTTTGTTGATTGAATTGATTGCTGAATGCTCACTAAATATGTGTTAAATTAACAAATAGATTAAAGAATAGCTAAGATTGTACATTAGATGAATATGGAGAAAAGGTATGAAAGAGGAATTATAATAACCAAAGTCTGGAAGGAAGAATACCACCAAAATTAGAGATATTGATGCAGGAAATTGGAAACGTTTGAAAAGAAGGCGTAACTACTTCAAATAATTCAGGATTTTTTATTTCTATTTTTCACATATTCATGGGATGCTAAGAATTGTTCAGGAATGAAGAACTCCTGAGCTAATAATAAAGGTATTCAAATGCTGTGGGATTTAAATAATAAAATGAATGAATATTTATTCCTGTTACAGATTTTTAATTTATAGCCTCTAAAACATTATAGATTGACTAAAATCCAAAATAGTTTACTACTTAAGTCTGGAATGTACTTTAGTACCCAGGGCACTTGACCTTAGAAAGGACACATGGGCCGATTACATACATCATTTCTTGGTGTTACTTCTGCTTCCTTGTCTTTTTGAGAGCTGGAAGGGCTGATGGCTGTGTGTATTCACCCTCTCAGCTGACTGATGGATGAGGATATAGGCAGAACTGTGGCAAGGCACTTTTGTAAACGTAGACCAAAACACATCTGTATACCTCTCCTTGAGCCAGATAACCGATGGTGCTTTCAGTCCATGGTATATGTTGATGGAAACAGTGGCTCGGTTCCAGTTTGTTACATACAGCTTTTTCTAAGGCCAGGTTTAAAAGTGGAAAGCATTCTGTTTTGCTTTGTTTTCTCTGGGCTTCTGTACTGGAGATAATTCCAAAAACTGAATATGGG